CGATGCGTTTGTTACTGTTTCTTATTTTTTCTTGTGTTTTTTCCTCTTGTGGACGGCTGCCTTATATCTTCTCACCGCCCATTCCCCACTTCTGGACTTGCAGCTTGGCTCTGCTTTCAGGTGCCGCTTCCAGAAGTTCTTTACAGCAAGGACCATGAATGACTTTTTTACTGTAGAAGAACTGAGTATCACTGCTTTCCTCACTCACTTACGGCCTTTGTGCCTTCGTCCTAAAATAGAACACCCAGCCGTGGACTTATGTGAGTTGCCCTTCGCCTGGTCTTTTATATAATGACATGAATTTTCGGCGGCTTTAGCTATAAAAACACTTATAAATGTATCGAGGCATACTACAACATTGAAAACATAGAGATATGCTGTTAATAGTGCTATACAGCGGCCTCCATCAATTCCCAAGTTGAGCAAGAAAAGAGGCAAGAAAATCCCAAGTTGAGCAAGAAAAGAGACAAAAAATCTTTATTATCAGTCATGAGAACGAGTAAAGACGTTGTTGTTGTTGATTATGTTGATGTGACTCCTCCTCGAAAACGCTCAGGGGTTGAACAGCTTTGCTGAAATTTCACGGACGTATCTGTCACTGCAACATCTGAGGCACAGTGGAAGTAGCTTGAAACCGACAGAACCCCCAACATTTTGTCAACCCCTTTAACTGACGGAGCCGGCAGCTGAGACGATCCTATGCATGCTGGGGCGTCTTCGAGGGGCTGAGTCTGACGCGGCGCCAGCCTGTTCACTGTTGAAGTGACGACAACTGATGGAAAACGGTCAGGTGCCGCGCCACACGCAACCCCCGCCGCGCTCCAGCATCACGACTGTAGGTGACGGAGTGCTCGACAATAATTTGTAGGTCTTACGTTGGCAAGTGGTTGAATGCTGGCAGTGCTTGAACTGCGCATTGGTATATTCACGGGCTGACTGACAACCATACCATTGAGCGTCACTCTGAATGCTTAGGGAATGTGTCGGAGTTCACGTATGATGCGGTAAAAAACTATACAAACTTACCGCTGTTGGACCTCTGCACGCACCGTTACGATAGACAGAGCCCATAGGAATCCATGAGATTTTGAGCATACCTTGCAAAATCTCAGATACCGGAGATATCATATCAAACTGAGCAACCTAATTGAAACAAGGTTAACATCTTACTTGCAGGCATTGTCCGTGTCGGTAGTGACATTCTTCTTGTACTGATTAATTGTAGCTGCAATCTCATCGTTGTAGTTCACATACGTGTTTTGCGTGCACGAAGTTAACGTAATGTTTTCGTAGACAGCTAGAATTGTAGGAGTAGTGAGTGTTAAGTCTGTGATGGAAAAGAAAGAGCCTGAAACTGTTTTGCTTCTGAGGTATACCTAGAAAAATCCCTCCCATACATAAAGGGGGGGGGTCCGTAATCCAGATGCGCCACTTTTGCCGCTCAATATTGCCTAGTAAGCAAGCCATCGATTTACGACTTGCCTGTTTCATACCTACTTAGACCAGGCGTTCATACTCATCCTCTCAGGGACTGTTTCGAATACAATATCGGTAAGAGGACGTCAACAGGATAACGCTGGCTGAGCGATGTTGGAGCTAATACTCGGTCCCAGGATCAAATCTTGGATCGGCTGCCGCCCGAGTCAGCTATGCCTTCTATCCTCCGGTGACAGTAAATATTAATTCATTCGTCTGGTGGTGAACACTAACATATGTATCACAAGAATGCTGAGTTGTGGGCAAAAGTCGTGCCCCAGGCGGGAGTCGAACCCGCACCTCACGCTTTCCGGGCGAGTGCGCTATCCGTTACGCCACAGGCCGCTTTACCTTCAGCGTAAGCGGTTAAGTGAACGGGTAAGAGCGGCTGGATGGCGTAAGGATATAGCGCACTCGCCCGGAACGATTTCATGTCCCCTCGATCTAGGCGATGACCGACTTCTCGGTGGCAATTTTCGCAGTAACAGGTTCCTCATCAACTGAATTTCATTCACACGGGATAAGTGGGCAAGCAAGTTACGTGGACCCCGTGTTCGGGTCGAGCCAGGAGAGCTAAATCATGGATATATCATCATCATAACTACACTACCGAACAACAGGACGGCTGTTGCCTCCGGGTATCGGAGAGACAGTCTCCTGCAACCTACAAGAGAGCTATCACAAGAATGCTGAGTTGTGGGCAAAAGTCATGCCCCAGGCGGGACTGAATTCCATTCAGTGTCGTGTTTCAGTGCGTCGTTTTTAGCCAAGGTTAAACGTGTGAGTGCTGTAAGGCTACGGCATAAAAGCCGTTAAGCTGAGAGGGTAAAAGCGGCCCTGGTGGCGTAACGGATAGCGCACTCGCCCGGAAAGCGTGAGGTGCGGGTTCGACTCCCGCCTGGGGCACGACTTTTGCCCACAACTCAGCATTCTTGTGATAACATTCGGAACGCGTACTGCGGCGTTAAACAGCAGTTATCATAACAAAACAACATTGTTCGTCAGCTGGTCTACGCAAATTATTTAACGGGCCGCATCGTCCATTCGGTGAATACTATTCTGAATAGAAGTAGAATGCGTGCCGCATCTCAAAAGGAAATTGATCAGCAGCAATAACTTTCTCTATTATTGTCGTTTATGGGCAAAATAACTGAAAAGAGCAAGACCCGAACCCTGTATCTCACACCTCCTGAGTTAGTGTGCTAAGTAGTTGCTTCCCAACGTTCAAGTCAAAGTCTTGTCTGAAGTCAAGTCTACTGCCCATAACCCAGCATTATCGCAACAAAAAAGCTCAAGAAATCGTGCCCTGGGATGTAGCTTCTGCTGCGTGTAAAGCGTTCCTTTGCAGTCTAAGCCATTCCCAAATTCTGATCAAAACGCACTCACCGAAAAATCCGGCGCCACACTTGAACCGCCAATCAGCGAGAAATCCCTCATAGGAGTAGGCATCCTGTGGTGATTTGCCCATTCCCACCAGTCCGATAAGACCAAGGCAATACCGAATGTTTTGCGGTCCAAGGCACGAGTAGAAGTTGGCGAATCCACTAAATGTGACCGGCTTAAGACAGATTACTAGAGAGCTGCCACACTAGAAGTGCTTTTTCAAAAGTGGTTTTGATTCGCGGATCTGTCATTATATCACATGCTTAGGAACTATTTGAGCACGCTTTGATCAGGTGGCATTCATGAAGTTTTTGCCAAAATCCTGTATTCACAAAAACTCAGCAGCTTTATTAGTTGAGGTTGAGCACTTTCCTTTGAACAAAACTGCCCTGAGGCAAATGTGGTTAGATGAACCCACATTTTCTGAAATGTCCAGTACAAGGAAATCATTTACTAGAAAACAGGAAGTGCGCTGATTTGCAGAAAAAAGGACGTATACAGGTGCAGCATCGTGTTGTGTGAAATGGTCGTGTCAGTACGCCCCCCCCCCCTCAAGGGAGGGTCTCGGTACGACCTACCTCCCCTTCAACACCTACCTACCAATTTCGCAATTTCTTTTTCACCCAGAAATTTTTAGTCTAGCGCGGGAGGCAGTACATAGTATAGCATATGGCCACTGGGTGAAATTTTCTTAGATTTTCTCTCAAATCATACCACTTTTCCGGAATTTCCCAAAAAATTTTATACTTCGCCCAAAAAATTTTGCTGTCGAGCGGGCAAACTTCTCTCAAAGCTCAACAGGGCAGATTTCTCCCAAAGCCACATACGCGACCCTCCTCGACGGGATTCACAAGATGCTGTACCCTGGACGAGGATCCACCCAAATAAGCTTCTTACGGTGAAGAGCTGACAGCTAATAGACTGGACTTTATATTTTTGCACTTTATCTCTGTCAGGTGGGAACTCAGAGTATGCAAAAGAAAAGGTAGAGTGCTTCTCACAAAAAAGTCTTGTTTTTTGTGATGAAGTATGATGAAAACGCCACAGCTATCAACCAGCAAAGGCTTGTCCCCTTCCAAATGCCTCACACTTCTCGAATTTCGCTTATTTTATCCACAAACTTATTCAATCTCAGGCTCACTTGCAGATATTCACGTAGTTATTGATACCATATGGTGGTCGCATGAGTGCAATCAGAGTCCTATCGAGCTGACTAAGATCATTCCAAATGTTGGAGCTGCTGAAAAAGAGAAGCTCAATAAAATAACAGTCGAAATTTAACCACAATTCATAGGATGACATCTGGAATCAGGAATTCATTGCAAATGTTGATGGTGATGACTCTTCATCAGGGACAGTTAAGCTACACGTACACCGGAGAAAAAGCAAAGCAATAGGCAGTAGCAATAGGAACCTTGTATTTACCTGGCGCATCATCGTACGCATAAATAAATGAACGAAAATACACCATTTTCACTTTAAAGGCAGTTGGCACGATGATTTGGTGCTCGGCCTAAAATGCTAGTAGGGCGCTATATAGTGGGGAAATGGCGAAAGAACGGAGTGAAACGGTCAAAATCCTGCGAAGAAAAAGCCTCGTTTTCACTGTGTTAGTAATCAATTTTGGACGAGTTTCCCGTAGGCATCTTGCCAATAACCGCTACCGAAGGTACGGCTGCATATGTGTACTCATATATCCATGCAGCATCACGGCCGCTTCATACCAATCCTTTCGTTGAATCGATTAGAGCGTCAGGAACGGTCGTCCAAAAGTAGGCGGGCGGGCGAGGAAGGCGTTTGGGACGTAAAGTTGTTGCTCGATAGAGGCGTTATAGAGGTACCCTCCTTGGAAAAGGCGTCGCGGAGCGCCTGTCCGAGGTCACGGAATTCTGTTAAGCCAGTCGTATAAATCCTACACCTGTATAGCGATTTATCGTGCCAACTGCCTTCAAATTCATCACCTTTCAAACTCTTCTTAGACCAGGCAGTTCACCAACCAAATCACGCCAGACACCACCGCGAACCCTGCCCCGACGGTCACGCCTACTTGTCAGCGCGGACATAGATTTTCAACACATGACTGACTCCGCCCATTCTTTAAAGTTTGTTGCGAACTTCAAATCTTCACTTTTTCAATTTTTGATTTCACATCCACTCTTCGCACAACGAAGGTACTTTTAGCATTCATGCACCGGCAATTCAGGCTCCGCCCACTTCTCAAAAATGGTGCAAATCGGCAGCATAGAGCCGTGCAAATCGGCAGTATAGAGCCTTGGCTTGCATGCTAGGGTCTCGTCCGTCACTCGGAACAAATAAATCAGGCAAAGTTTGTTCCTAATGACCAGCAATACCCTTGCCATGCAAGCCATGGCTCTATACTGCCGATTTGCACCATTTTTGAAAAGTGGGCGGGGCTTCTTCAAAGTGGGCGGAGCCTCTCACAGTGGGCGGGGCTTCATGGAGCAGTCCAAAAATGCAAAAATTTTGAAAAATATCAAAATTCCGCAAAAAGCAAGTGGGCGTAGCCAAAGGGGCGGAGCCTGAATTGCCGGTGCATGAATGCTAAGAGTACCTTCGTTGTGCGAAGAGTGGATGTGAATTCAAAAATTGAAAAAGTTATGAAGATTTGAAGTTCGCAACAAACTTTAAAGAATGGGCGGAGTCAGTCATGTGTTGAAAATCCTGAGTCACGTGCTGAAAATCCATGTCCGCACTGACAAGTAGGCGTGACCGTCGGGGCAGGGTTCGCGGTGGTGTCTGGCGTGATTTGGTTGGTGAACTGCCTGGTCTAAAAGAGTGGTGAATTTGGTTTGAAAAGTGGTGAATTTGCTTTGAAAAGTGGTGAATTCAAAGTGAAAATGGTATAAATAAATAAATATCAATCAGATGAACATGTGAAGAAGCGCGCAAATCACTTTGATATTTCGCATGTGAAAGCGATGCAAATAGGAAGGTGATTCCTCAAATAGCGAACAATGGTTGATGCTTATATGGCACGATTCCATCCTGTTAAGGTATGTGTGGCAAGACAATCGTAAGGAGCTGGGCATAGCGAGCAGCACCGCACCGGTCAGACGAATTGTCCTGCCTGGCCGTTCAATGCTGGGCGTCGAAGGCTTGATATCGCCCATTATGGAGTCTTATTCCTGCTCGAATCCACACACGTTCCAGGCTTCAATCGACAAAATGATGCACATCAAGAGGTCTGCGCACGAAGAGCCTCTCGCAACGCACATTAGATTGTGTTCTCCGTATCTTCTATATGCCCCATATTAAGTCTGTGACCTAGTCAGCAGTGTCAAACAAGAAGTTCAACCGGACAGAAAAACGAGGACATAGCACCAGTGCAAATCAAATGCTTTGCAACAGATACTTGACAGCTCACTATCAAAAGGAATGTCGTGTGAACGCGGACTCACTCGATGTTCCAAAATTGGCCGAGAGCAACATTGCAGTGTTTGAATAGTGTCGAATCACAATTGTCTTGCACTTGTCCTTGGACCAATGCCACGAAGGAGCCTGCAAAGGAATCAATTAGAGCACCATTTCGAAGGATTTTCGAAGACAGGAATAAGATACGGGGAAGTGGCTCCTATACATGTGAAAGGTGGACAGGGGTGCTGCGGTAGAAGCGTAGCACGTCGAATATTCGGATACGCACGCTACAGTCACTTTGCATGCCTCGCGGCCAAACTGACCACCTAACTTGGGTGGCCGCACGGTGTGCATCGTGTAACCATTGGCGGGTGTACGACACTTCTGCTGCAGCGGATGTGTCCACCTCGTCCAAAGAAATGATCTAAACCCCTTAGGTAGTTGTTCAAGGTGTGTTAGCTTACAGCAGCTGAATTCTGGACAGACGGTTTCAAATTTAGATCAGAAGTGACTTAGATTTTTTTCTAGATTTTTTGGAAAGTTGAGCAGCCCAAAATCACTCTTCGATTCAATAATTAATCAATGCTTTCATTTCGAAAAATTAAAGTTGAGACGAAATCCAAAAGAAACCCTCTTATTCTATCCTCACCACTTTGATCGCTGAACGGCCATCACTTTCCGGAGGCAAGTAGGAGAACAACTGCACATGTGCCCATGATGCAAATTTTGGGCCCTTTAGGCTGTGGCTGACGTGCGCCGACGCGGGCGATGTTTGGAAACAGCAACCACGCGTCATTTCTCTCGTCCCTTCCCAGAAACTGGCGCACTACGTAACTGTGGACCCATCCACATTCCACGTGACAAGGTTTAGGATCATGAAGGGGCCTCTACACTTTATCTTGAGGAGAGTGGAGCTTCCCATCAAATATATTAGGGTTGCATAAGTTCTTTTCCCCCGACTTTTTTGTAAATATCTCAATACCAGCCTGAAGATTAGAGGTATGCACCATCACCATCCACTCGACGCCAACGCTCAGGCAGCTTGTCGATTCCATCGTCCCAGAAGGACGGGGGCTGGGACCCGAAGAAGGCCACAATGCCGCACAATCACCACTGTGACATGGTTTTGCACTGGTAATTGTGCGGCATTGTAGCCTGCAAATGCAGGGTGGGTGAGTGATAGCTAGTGTGGTGAAAGAGTATCATGTACACGTCACGCACACGTGATGACGAAATACCAACCTCCATGCAAACGAAATACGGAAGGATCAAAACAGGGGAAAAAACTTATGCAACAACCTATATAAAAACCCGTAGTAGAAGTACATAGAAAGGTACTTAGACCAACTTCGCTTCAGCAGTTAGAGTTACAGCTGATAGTCGCCCTTATGTACAGGACTGCTTCTCCTTTATGAATTCGGGAATCAGGGCAACGCCAATGATGGGCGACGCAGTGGTTTCTTTGAATGCGACGCAGCAAAAGTTTGGTTCAACAAACTCAGAAGTTCGAAACTGATTTGAAGAAAAACTCCGCTTTCAACCAACCCTCTTTGCTCGAGTAGTCCGCTTGATAGCCTAAGTTGTCTCAAATGCGAGTCCCTACTGCCAGTGCCAAGGGCCGTGCGGCCAGTTGTGGGTACGCTACCTGCAGAAATTGTTTCTAACGCTCCGGAGACGATTTCTGCCCCCAGTACTGGTGCTGTTCCGTGATGGACTGAACTCTGTGGGTGGCCCACCCCGCCTCCCAGCTCCTGCTTCCACGCGGATCTTGAGGGATTATGACTTCCCAGTGAGGAGCCATCTTTTTCACAGGCTATGTTTTGCCGAAAACTTAAACAGCGATGCAGCCGCATCGCTGTTTAAGTTTTCGGCAAAACATGTGCGGGCGAATGCCCGTCTGTACAATCCTGCCGTGATCCTTTCTCAAAGAGAGTTTGCGCAGCCCGTACATAATCTATTGCAAGCTTCGTTCCATTTTTATCTTTTTTCTTAGTCGGATATTTTTCAGCACTGGCTGTTACGAAGAAACCATATACAAGTCAAGGAATGCACAGAGTACGCAGAGGATCCATACCTACAGCGAATTCTGTCGACTCAATTTATTGGTTACGTGGAAACTTGATCTTTCTGCATGACATTGTGGCAAAACCCCGTAGCGAAGACAGCTAGTGTTGCCAAAGAATCGCAGAAAACGTGGGGCGTGCAAGTGGATGGCCATTGCCAAAGGAGGTGGGAGGAGGGAAGTCAGGGTGGGTAAGCCACCTGTCATGCATGAAAAGTTGTACTGTATGCGATCGCAGTGGTCAAGGGATGAGAGACCGCAAAGAAGAACGGAGAATCGAAGCAAGTAAAGGGACTAGGCTCAAATTGTACATATGTGGACCCTTTATAAGGGTGTGGATGTCGTTTTGATGTAGCCTTAGTCACGGACGCATGTAGCGTTGTCAAAATATATCAAGCACATAACAGGATCGATCTCGTGAGGATTTATTTTCCTGTTGAACAATTACCCTCTTATATGCCACTGTGATTATTCGAAGCGACTTCGAAACTTCATAAAACCACGAAGCGCCGGTTGTAGAGCAAGATAAAGCGAGGAAATAGCAGCCTTTCAGTGGAGCATACCTTTCTCAACTCAGAGCACACATAATTTGACCCAGACTTAAAAGAGGGTCAGCCAGGTTCATGAAAATTTTAATGAGAAAACGTAATGACTTACATAGCAGTAGTGTGACTTTCATGATCTGGGCGTTCACCAGTGAACAAAACGAGTGCAACACGTAGAGATAAGGGAGACTTTTCTGATACACGTCGTTTACGACCTGCGCTTAGGCAAATCGCTCACAGAACAACATTTCTTAAACCATAGGAATCGATAAGCGGCATGCTTCAAGTATTCCAATGTCGTTCAGGGAACTGAAAGGCAG